TCTCTCAAAATAAATAAATAAACTTTAAAAAAGAAAAAAAAAAAGAAATAACTTCATGCCAACAAAATTGGCAGCTTAGATGAAATGGACAAACTAAAACTTGACAGAATCGATGGGAATCAAGACAACTCCATGATCACAGAGATTTGTTACACCCCTCTGTAAAGCCCTCAGAAAATAGGAGAGAACACTTCCCAACTTGTCTTAGGAGACCTGCATAGCCCTAATTCCAACAACCTGAAAAATATATTCCAAAAAATTACAGACCAATCACCTGTAAATATAGACACAAGGTGAAACCCCCCTGACACACTGAGAACACAAATTTACATAACATTCTGGGAAACAAGTCAAGCTGACAAACGAACAAGAAGTATGGAGGTTTTACAAAAAGAAGCCTAGAAGTAAAATACAAATCCCACCTCCACCTCCTCCTAGCTATCGTCTTTCCACAAGCACCTCAACCTCTCTGAGCCTCAATCTCTTTACCTATAAAATAAGAGTACCCACCACATAAAAAGCCTGTATTACTGTGAGTTCAAAAGAAAGAAGTGAAAAGCAGTAGTGTCTGCCACAGGGCCACCACCCTGCAATTGCGAAGGCTTTGTATTGCACCCTGGGTGAATAGCGCCCTCTTAAGTTGTGCAGTACACAACCTAGTCAGTGGTACCTGGAGACCCTGCTGGGTGCTCAAACAATTTTAAAAGGAAAAAGCCACAGTTATACAGAAGAAAAAACTAAACGTTTAGTTGGGAAAGATGAATTCATGTCTCTGCAAAACTAAAAAATAGTGGTATGTTATTCTAGCCACCTCATTAACCATTTCTAAGCCACTGTATACTTATCTGCAATACCGGTATTTTACAGCATTCTTAGATTTTTCAAAGCTCTCAAAATGCTAAGGTTATGTGTGCAGTTTCCAGTGGCAAGCCATTAATGAACTAAATGTCCTATGCCCAAAGTTATTTCTTAACTACAGTGATAGACATGATAGCAATGTTCCTTGTATAGAAGTATAAAAAAGGAAACCATGCTTAATGGCAAGCTTAAACAAGATACATTGTTTTCTTATTATTTTCACATGGGAAATTTACGCCTCCTTCCTTACCTGATTTGTGTTTCAAATTTGTGGTCACCCCATCAAATTCAGACTTATCAATTTCCCATGCGAGAGGTAGCTTGCCCAGGCTATTGGATAAGTTGTCCAAGCTATTTTCTTCATTGTAGATGATCTCTGATGTACTAGTTGGGATGCCAATGTATCTTGACGGGTTATTTCCCGCAGATAAAGAGGTACTATCAGGAAGACAAGAAGAGCGGGTTGAATTTGGAGGTTTATAGATTGAGGTTGCCTGGTTGAGAAAGGCATAGTCTGAACAGATGGCATAAATTTTCTCCCGAGTATGGGTCACTGGACAGCTCCACGGATAATGACCATCTCCTTTGGGGCCCAAGGGTGCCCCCGAGGCACGAGTGCAGAAAGACTGTACAGCACCGTGTAGATTCTCTTCAGGAGACCTTCTCTCGGATTTGTGCTCACCATTTCCAGAATCATTTGCCCTTTCTGCTTCTGCAACGTTAGGCATTGAATGCAACTATAAAAGTTCTGTTAAGGAGAAGTTGCAGCTCTTTCTGCTACTCGAAAACCAACTGTGACAATCGTTTAGAGCATCCTACAGAAACTTGGGAGCTGCAAAATGGGATCCTAAGAAAAGAGGGAGGAGAAAGAAACATCAACAATCTGCTAGACACTACAAAAGACTAAGAAATATATCAAATGTTTCACATGGGTTCATTCAATGAATATTTTACAACTACTAAACACCTAGAGTCACAATCACCGCCCATCTGCTTTATTAAAAAATTATTTTACAATTATGCTTTAGAATAATAAAAAAATACAAACAACTCAATTAAAAATGGGCAAAATATCTAGGGGCGCCTGGATGGCTCAGTCAGTTAAACATCCGACTTCAGCTCAGGTCATGATCTCGTGGTTCGTGAGTTCGAGCCCCACATCAGGCTCCGTGCTGACAGCTCAGAGCCTGGAGCCTGCTTCAGATTCTATATCTCCCTCTCTCTCTGCCCACCCCACGTAGGCTCTGTTTCTCTCTTTCTCTCAAAGATAAATAAAAACATTAAAAAAAATTTTTTTTAATAGGCAAAATATCTGAATAGTCACTTCTCCAAAGACAGTGTAGAAATGGTCAATAAACACAACGAAATGATGTTCAACATCATTAGCCATCTCGGAAATGCAAATCAAAACCACAATAAGACACTATGTCAACCCAGCAGGATGGCTCTAATGAAAAAGATGGACGATAAGGATTGTTGAGGATGTGGTGGAACTGGAACCCTCATACACGTCTGAAGGAAATGCAGAATGGTCTAGTCACTTTGGAAAACAGTTCCTCAAACACTTACAGAGTGACCATATGATCAAGCAATTTCACTCCTAGGTATAAAGCTACAAGAAATGAACACATATGTCCACAGAAATGTTCGTAGCGGCATTATTTATCATAGCCAAAAAGGAGAAACAACCCAAATATCCATCAATTGATGAATGGGTAAGTAAGATAAATAAAATTTAGTTTATCCATGCTACAGAATATTGGGCAATAAAAATAAATGAAATACTGACCCATGCTACAACACAGATGGCCCCTGAAAGCATTATGCTAAATGAATGAAGCCAGTCACAAAGGAGCAGACAGTGTATGATTCCATTTATATGAAATGTTCAGAATAGGCAAATCTCTAGTGACAGAAATTAGATTAGTGGGTTACCTACAGCTGGGAGGGAGGAGGAGGTTGGGGATGATGGGTTTCTTTTTGTAATAATGAAACTATTCTATAATTGATTGAGGTGATGAATCCACAACATTATGAATATACTAAAAGCTACTGAACTGGACATTTGAAACAGGTGAATTGTATGATGTGTGAATTATATCCCAATAAAGCTGTGTATCCATCACCACAATTATAGTTAGTAGTCACTAACTTCTGGTCAGTCTCAAGAAAAACTCATTTTCAAGTCTACACCAGTTCCTTTGGGGAAGAAAACAGAACAGTTTAAATAGCAACCAAGGGCATTTGAGGAAGTCGAAGATTTACAGGACCTTGATGAGTCAGACCAGCACAGGTGGTACAGGAGGGCACAGGGTGCAGGTGCCAGTTCTGAGTGTGCCCACCCCACAGGGCTCTAGTGATAGAAAAGTACTCAAGAGACACAGCCCGCCCCAGGTAACCAGTCTGATGTTCACTAGTCAATATCTCTGCCCATTCACTTATTTTTAAAAAATTAGAAGTGAGAATAATTTTCTTAGGTTACAGAAAATGGTTATATAAAACCCCTCATACAAATATTGAATGACAAAAACCTCTAAGGCAATAAGAAATAACAGAAGAAGGATTGCCACAAGAGCCGTGGTCCCTCTAAATCTGTGGGCAGAAACTAGTAAAGGTAAGGCATGTCCTACATGTAATTTAAGGTAACAGAGTTCATTACAAGAAGGACTCCACATATCCTACAAGAGATTCCATTCCCTTTATTTTTAAGGAATGCTTTCCTTTTTTCTTTTTTAATGTTTACTTATTTTTGAGAGAGAGAGAGAGAGAGAAAGAGAACAAGTGGGGGGGGGGCAGAGAGGGGGAAGAAGATCCGAAGCAGCCTCCAGGCTCTGAGCTGTCAGCACAGCTGACTAGAGTAGGACACTTAACCCACTGAGCCACCCAGGCACCCCAGGAATGTTTTCCTTCCATTCAAACCTTTGGGGAGTGAGTTTTTTGGAATTGGTGCAGTTTATAGTTATTCGCAGAAAAGTCGGTTTGGCGGGAACCTCCCCACCAAAGATGGAACCCCCAACAGTATCATTTGGGAAACTTCTCTTGTTTTCAAGAAATCCTGGGAGTGCTAGCAGTGGATCTCTTCACAGAAAGCTTTAAGCCTTCTCTTTCTTCCTCATCTCCTGGTGTCATGGTGATGTTGGAGGAAGATGCAAAGAGAAGCTTGTATCTGAGGCTGTACAGACCACACTGGGCTTTTCTGAGGAGTCGATTTCTCTGATTCTTAGCAGATGACCTAACAAAGCACTTTCTACTGATCTGTTGTCCTGGTGCCTTTCTCTGAGAGCCAGCATGGTGGATGGAGGTAGGTATTATTTGTGGCATTGGGGCTGTATGGGTGGGTTGCGGTAGGGTACAAAGGGCCTTGGTAAGTAAGGGGTAGTGACCCAAGGGTGTTGGAGTCCATCGGAGGAAGTGGTGGGGACAGAAATGCTCCAGGCACTGCCCTTGTCTCTTCATCTCAAGCTTAGTTTCTACTTTGTCACAGCTTCCTTCCTCAGATTTAATAGAAGTGTGCCCATGGGACCAGCTCTCTGTAGCGTGGGGATGTTATGAAGAATGCACATTTGGAACATATAGAGAATATTCTTATCAAAAACATAGGCAAAAGGAAATTAGTGCATTTGAGCACAAAAGGTAGGGCTGAGGGGCACTTGGGTGGCTCAAGTGGTTAAGCATCTTGATTTCTTGATTTCTGCTCAGGTCATGATCTCACAGTTCACGAGATGAAGCCCCACATCAGACTCTGTGCTGACAATGCAGAGCCTGCTTGGGATTCTCTCTCCCCCTCTCTCTATCCCTCTCCTGCTTGTGCTCTCTCTCTTGTGCGTGCTCTCTCTCTAAATAAATAAATAAATAAATTTTTCTTTAAAAAAAGGTAGGGTTGAACTTTCTGGAAGCTAAAGACAAGAAAGAACATAGCACTTAATTAACAAAAAGTTTAATAGTCTGGTTTTCTTTGCGTTTTGGGTTTGTTTGCTTTTAAATAATGGTTACTCAACAAGCATGATCTCTTTGGTTGCACTTCTACAAAAAAAAAAAAAGTGAAGATCATCCACATAAGGGCATAATTTATATCAATTGTCAATAAAAGCCAATACCGGTATGAAAACGTTCTCCTTTGAAGCATCATTTATGGAAATTTCTCTTTGAAAAATTGTGTAATGTTTCTAGATTTTTATCACAGAAGTAAAACAAATGACAGAGAAAACTACTACAAAATACCAAGGTATGACACAAAGAAAATGAAAATCATCCAACTCCCATGACCCAAACGCTGTTGATGTTTATTTTCTTCCCTTAATATCTGTCAGATCTGGGGAATGTTCTCCCCATGTCAGTGTGAGCCCCTGAAGCTAACTGATGTTAGTATTATCTATTATTATCGCGTCCTCAGGCTTTCCTACGAGTGAACTGAGCACAAGTTATTACTGATAACAGAATCATTAGAGACAGCAATCACTGTATTATGTTGTAATTATAGCCTCAGGAAACACTGAGGGACAAAGGTGCAGTTGTCCCTCCACTAAATAGCCTGTAGCTTCTCTGGTTTTGTCACACCTCATATCTCCTTTTGTTCCTATTTTGGTAAACCATTCCCAAGTCTATCCCCACTCCTAGCACCACCCCACCCCTGGGATGATATTTCTAACCTGACCTGTGCAGAGTTATTAGAAAATAAAGCTTGGACACATATATATGCTCACGTAACTCCCCTGCCTAAAACCTTCGGCTCTCAGAACAAAAAGCCAACTCCTGGCCCCAGGATGGATCTCCTTAGCCCCATCCCTCTCTCACAGCCCCCTTCCTCCTTCCAACTTTCCAATCTCTGGATGCATTCTCCTCCTACTCACCCTCCAGTATTTGGTTAATCCCCATTTATTGCTCATATCCTTCCATGTCACTTTCTGGGGATTCTTTCTTTGCTCCCCAGACCAGGCTAGGTCACCCTGTGCATACTCAGTACCTTTCCTTAATAAGTCTTACCAGGGCTATCCCCAGGGAAGAGCACTTTTTAAAAGTTTCATCAACAAAGACTTAACTTGTAAGTGCCTACATCATGCCAGGCATTATTTTAAGCCCCGGATTAGGAGCCTAGTAGATTCCAGGAAGATTTACTAGGAGAGGCTTTACGAATCAGGGGCTGGACATTAGGCTAAACAGCCTCTTTTTCCTCCTCCCTGGGTGTCGTCTGTGAGAATGATGTTTCCTAATCCAGGTAAGAGAGGAGATGCTCTATTACGATTTTACAAGAATGTCTAAGGGCCTAAGGCTCAATTTAATGATGTTCTCAACCATCATGGCACAGGCAACAGAAATACTGTTTAACTGTGAGTGAACAAAATTTTATAACATGCACCTGTAAAGTAACGATTTTTGGAAGTCACTAGAACGAACTGTTCTGTCAAATAAACGCTCCATTTGTAAGGTCAGTATCCATCGCCTAGGCTACATTCTTTTCGGGTTATATTTCCAATCCGTATTTTAAAGTATCAAGTTGGCTTAGAGAACGAAAGACCTTCAGAAGTCTCTTCAGCAAGCCTCCCCATGTGACAACTATTATCTGTATTCCATACGGAAGGCCAGTGAAAGGTAATAGCATGGAAGTGACTTACTAACAGTGGAAAAGGCGCCCACGAGCTGGGCCAGACGCGCTAAGCCCCAGCGGGTCAGGTCCCCAGCTCGGTCCTCCTCCCCGGTGTCCTCCACACGCGCACCAGGCCCCTTGCCGGGCTCAGACCCGAGCCCCTTCCCGGGCTGCGGCCGCGGGCCTACGAAGGATACCGGGTCCTCCCGGCGGCGTGCAGCCCAGGCTCCCGGGGCAAGCGAGCGGAGCTCCCACCTCCCTGTTCTGCGAAGCTCGCGGCGCTGCCAGGCTCAGAGGCCGCCGGGACCCAAGCGACAGTCTCGCAGGCCGGTCCCCGCCACGCCGAGGCGGTGTGTGAGGAGGCGGCGCCGGGCGAGGGGAGGAGCCAGGCTGCGCTCCCAGCCCGCGCCCCTCCAGCGGCCGCCTCGGCCCGCGCGCGCTCTCCGGGACCCAGCCCCCCAGCCCCGGTCCCCGCAGCGAGGCCTACGGGCCGCTCCGCCCGCCTCCCGCCTGGGCCGGAAGCCGGAGTCCGCCGCTAGGGGGAGCGCTGCGGACGCCCGCGGGGTGATCGCCTCCAACCCGCCCGGGGCCGCGGGAGATTCCGGACTCTCGATGCTCCAGGGCGGGTGGGACGCGTCAGTTACTGCCCCCGGGCCAGGAGGGAGTCGCCTATTTGAGCTCTGAATGCACCAGTTGAAATCGATACTCAAGACAATTGCAAAAAATTAAAAAACAGACAAGCCCCGCCTGGACGCCCACCCAGGCCAGCTTTTGCCCGCGGAGCCCCCCGGCGGGTCTGGGTTTTCCGGGCAGCTGGCAGAGGTCCCGAGAGGGAAGTGAGAGGGAGAGCTGGAGGCTCTGGGTCCGATCCCGGAGCTCCGTGACCCCTCCTGGTGACCTCCCCCCCCCCCCCCCCCCCCCCGCCCCCGGCCAAGGGGCAGACGTGCGGGGAAGAAGGGACGGCCACGGCGCGCTCCCGGCCAGGCCCTGCCCGGCGTGGCGTGGACACCCGCGCCAGGCAGGAGCCACCGGTATCCACGCGGACATCTCCAAATCGGGCTTTGTTCCCGAGAGCACTCGCCCCTCATCTCCTTAACACTCCCCCCATGTTGCGGCCCAGCTCTTCACCCCACTTTTTCCCACGAGGAGGACGGGCACGGATGCAGTGGCCACCGCTCGGACGGCCACGGGGCTCCAGGGAGCCCACGGCCCCCGGCAAACCAGGCGGCCACAGGCGGCGCCCAGGACAGGCGGGCAACAGCAGGCCCTGCCCGCGGCGCGCGAGTGCCGGGCGGATGGCCCCGCGCGCTGGGCGCACAGCAGCCCGCAGCCACCTCCGCCCGGCCCACAGCCCCGGGTACCTCTCGGCCTGTCCGGCGGGGTCGAGTCGCTGCGGCCGCCGCAGAGCCGGCACCGGACCCGGATCACAGCTTCCCGCGCGCTGCCCGCGACGTGCCTCCAGTTACCCTGGGGCTGGCGTCTCTCGTCCCATTGGAGCGCGCGGGGACAGCGCCCTGGACGGCTGTGCCCGGCGACCGGTTGTCAGATATCATTGACAACACCTTCCTTTCATCGTGTTTTATAATACCTGCCCTCTGCACGTGCGGAGGGTATGGTGACAATTTTTTTTTTCTTTACTCTTAGCTGTGCCCCCGCATGCCCCTCTGTTGGGCACCTTGTATGTAAGCGGTGACCGCAAAGTAAATAAACGAGTGAGAGTAGGTAAAACCTGGCAGGATTTCCGCTAGTCCTATCGCGAACTACATGTCCCAGGAAGCCATGGAGCAGGGACGCCACCGCGCCATCCACTTGGAGAGGGCCTTACTCAGCCCGGCGACACGCGGGCCAATCCCCTCGCCCTGCACCTTGGGCTGGAGCCTGAGACCGATTCGCCCCCAAGGATGCTCCAGTTGTAAGAGCAACGCAAGTTTATCATTGTCGGGAGAAAGAGGAGCAGCGTGTTTGGAACGGGTGGCATCCTTCAGCCGGACCAGCCAGCGATCCGCCTGTGACTGCCCTGGGGGAGAGAGGAGACCCGCGCGCCTGCCCAGCCCAGCAAGCGACACCTTTTTGGAGTCGTGTTTCCTGCTGCGATCGGCCAACGTGCCCCTGCCCAAGCCGCCGCTAGTCCCGTCCACTTCTTCCACTTCATTTATCCGTGGATCATTTCGAGAGTCGGTCTTGTAAATGTTTAGCATTTTGCTGCTTTACTGCTTCTTTCTGGGGACAGTGCCAGCACTTGCCGAGACCGGCGGAGAGAGGCGACTGAGTCCGGAGAAGAGCGAAGTATGGGGACCCGGGCTGAAGGCAGCTGTGGTGCTTCCCGCTCGCTATTTCTACATTCAGGCGGTGGATACGTCAGGAAATAAGTAAGTCCAGAAACGGCTCCCTATTTTGGAATGCAGTGAAAATGGACCGTTTCTCCCTTTTTTTTTTTTTTTTTTTTTTTTTTTTTTTTATCCGCCCAAGGTTTTTCCACAGCGGTTTAAATTCCAGGATATTTGGATGGTATCCACGTGCGATTGTAACAGTCTTTCCCCATCCCAATCAATTTTTCCCTGTAGCTTTAGAAATGTTTCCGGATTCCCTCTTCTCCTAGATATTCTGACAGGGGAGACAAAGCCTCTGCACTTTGCTGGAAGTTGTGTTTCTACCTACTTTTGCTTAAGCTGTTGTAAGGAATGTACACACCCAGCTGTGAAAAAGTCGGTTGGTTCATCCCTCTCTGGTGCTGCCCTCTGCTTTCAGGTAGACTTCTGCAGGTGAGCGAGTTTTGAAACACAGAGAAAAATGAAACACTATTTGAAACTTTACAGTTAAGAGGGAAAGTATCAGTGTGAGTCTCCTGTGTGTTTGTAACAAACATTATTGCATTCCATTGAATTCAACCATTAAGATGATAACTTAAAACGGACTTTTAAAATTCACATACTTCTGGGGCACTTGGGTGGCTCAGTTCAGTCAGGAGAGCTTTCAGCTGAGGTCAAGATCTCAAGGTCCTGGGATCAAGCCTGGAGTCCGGCTCCACATTCAATATGGAGCCTGCTTACGATTCTCTCTCTCCTTCCCTCTGCCCCTCTCCCTAAAATATAAATACAAATAAATAAAATGCTCTCTCTCTCTCCCTAAAATAAAATTAGAATTCACATACTTCTGTGAAATGATTGTCTTTTCGTTATTCGAGGATGCTGACCACATATATTTTGTAAGGGGGAAAAAAAAAAACATCTTGGGTATTCCAAGAAAAACTTTCAAGAAGTTTTCCAAAGCAGGAAAAAAAAAAAAAAAAAAAAAAAAAAAAAAAAAAAAAGTTATCAATTGTGTCACTTGGGTATTACAATTGGGGAAACTAAATACCATTTTAACAATCTTAATAGCGGGAACACTCACTTAAAAAAAACTTTTAGGGGAGCCTGGGTGGCTCAGTCACTTGACCACGGGCCTCTTAGTTTCAGCTCAGGTCATGAACTCATGGGGTTCATGGGTTCGGCCCACCAAAGGCTCTATCTGACAGTGTGGAACCTGCTTGGGATTCTCTCTCTCTCTCTCTCTCTCTCTCTCTCTCTCTCTCTCTCTGCCCCTTGCCCACATGCACCCTCTCTCTAAGAAAGAAAGAAAGAAAAAGAAAGAATCATTGAAAGAGATTTTTCAAAAGGTTGTTATCTTTATAGGCACCATTTGACCACAAATTTCCAGATGCATGAAATAAATAGTAGGTGGACAAGAGGGTTTGTGTGTGTGTGTGTGTGGTTTTTGGTTTTTGGTTTTGTTTTAGGGAGAGATAGAATATTCAGCGGGCTCCACGCTCAGCATAGAACCCAACGCGGGGCTTGATCCACAACCTTGGGACCATGACCTGAGCTGGAAACAAGAGCCAAACACTCAACCTACTGAGCCACCCAGGCACCCCAAGAATATGTTTATATGTGGAATGCATAAGTGGGTTCTATGTTTACATGAATATGTAGCCTTTACATATTCCCTTGAAATTTTCTAATGAAATGTTTATGTTATTGTGGCCTTCTGCCATCCTCTTCTTTTTCTTAAATCTCTGATCCATCACATTCATTCCGGCACTACAAGCATATGAGAGAGGCAGCAAGCATATATGTTAGGGGGAGAGTTTGAGAAAAAGAGTAAGGCTGACAGACTGGAGAGCAGAATCTTTGTGCATTTGTGCCTTAAAATAATCTTTATATCTTACTGTTCTTCCCGTGACAGGTTCACATCTTCTCCAGGTGAAAAGGTGTTCCAGATTAAAATCTCAGCACCAGAAGAGCAGTTCACTAGAGTTGGAGTCCAGGTTTTAGACCGGAAGGATGGGTCCTTCATAGTAAGATACAGAATGTATGCAAGCTACCAAAACCTGAAGGTAGAAGTTAAATTCCAAGGTCAACATGTTGCCAAATCTCCATATATTTTAAAAGGTAATTTGGAACATAATTTTACAACAACAGTGTTAATGAAGCCATATAATGGATATTTGTTACGTGTTTTGAATGGTGAGTGAAATTGTTACAGTGATATTTTGTTACTTGTGTGTAATCAGGGCCAGTTTACCATGAAAACTGTGATTGTCCTTTGGAAGATAGTGCAGCCTGGTTGCAGGAGATGAACTGCCCAGAGACCATAACTCAGATTCAGAAAGATCTGGCACATTTTCCTACGGTCGATCCAGAAAAGATTGCAGCAGAAATCCCAAAAAGATTTGGACAAAGACAAAGCTTGTGTCATTATACCTTGAAGGACAACAAGGTACAATTGAGGTTTGCTTGTTTGACTTGGTGACTTTTTTTATTTTGTTTTGTTTTCCTTTGACCTTTTGGCTCTAAGTAGCTACTGAGTTTTATTAAGTATCATTCAATGAGGAGCTGGCTGGCTCAGTTGGTGGAGCGTGTGACTCTTGATCCGGGGGTTGTGGATTTGAACCCCATGTTGGGTGTAGAGATTACTTAGAAATAAAAATCTTTAAGGGGCACCTGGGTGGCTCAGTTGGTTAAGTGTCCGACTCTTAGTTTCAGCTCACAGAATGATCTCACAGTTTGTGAGTTCGAGCCCCACATCAGGCTCCGTGTTGCCAGTTCAGAGCCTGCTTGGAATTCTCGGTCTCCCTCTCCCTCTGTCCCTCCCCTGCTCTCTCTCTCTCTCTCTCTCTCTCTCTGAAAATAAATAAATAAACTTTAAAAAATAAAATAAAATATTTTTAAAACATAATTCTGGGGTGCCTAGGTGGCTCAGTCGGTTAAGTGTCCAACTTCAGCTCAGGTCACAATCTCACAATTCGTGAGTTCGAGCCCCACGTCGGGCTCTGTGCTGACAGCTCTGAGCCTGGCATCTGCTTCAGATTCTGTGTCTCCCTCTCTCTCTGATCCTCCCCAACTCACGTTCTGTCTCTCTCAAAAATAAATAAATAGTAAAAAAAATTGTTTTAAATCATTCTAAAGATCATTGTGATACACTTTACCTCATTGAAATCTGCCAGTCCTGTTAGATTAACGTAATAAATGTTCATTTCTCTTTTAGGTTTACATCAAGACTCACGGTGAACATGTAGGCTTTAGAATTTTCATGGATGCCATACTACTTTCTCTGACTAGAAAAGTAAGTATTTTTTTTTCCTCTCAGGTAAAGACACTTTCAGCCAAGGTTTTACAATATAATTTTTAAAAATAACAGCTTCAGTGGTACTCTATCCTGGAACCTTATTAAAATACTATTCTGAAGCTTTATGTCCTGGAGAATACCTGCTATTCATTTCCTACTGTTGCCGTCACAAATACTGCGAGCTTGGAGACGTAAAACAACAGAAATTTTTGTTCTTTCGCAGTTCTGGAGGTTACAAGTCTGAGAGCAAAGTGTCAGCAGGGCCTTGCCCCCACCCCGACCCTCCTGAGAGCTGTAGGGGAGGACCCTTCCTTCCTCCCCCTGCTTCTCGTGGCATGCCGGCCATCCTTGGCGCTCCTTGGTTTGCAGCCACATCACTCCAGCCTCTGCCCCATCATCGCACGGCCTTCCCTGTGTGTCTCTCTCTTCTAAGGACACCAGTCATATTGAATCAGGGCCCACCCTACTCCAGTATGACCTCAGCTTAACTAATTATAACTGCAACAACCCTATTTCCAAAAAATGTCTTTCTGAGATACTAGGGTTTGGGACTTTTGCTTATCTTTTGTAGGGGACAGAATTCGATCGATAACAATACTTTTGAAGGGAAAATGTCTTAAAATAAAGTTGGCTTAATACTCAAACTACTTTGAGCCCAAAGAAGACATCGTCTATTGAATCCTGTTCCTTGGTATAATGAGCTTTCAGCAGGGTTCTGGTGGAGAACCTGACCGTGATAGTAAAATGGCCGATACGAAAAGCTCTACCCACATTTGTTACCAGTTGCTTAATAACAATTTATTAGATAATCTGTGTCTACATCTTGATTGAATTACTCATGGGAAATCATAGTATCTTCTCAGAATTGCATAGCACTTATAGTGAGTTCATCCTGAACATAGGTTGCTACATAGCATGCGTATTTGCCTCCTTTAAGCTAAGACATCGGGGTGCTGTCAAGTTTTCCTTGCACGTGTATCAATCCATGGAAAAGTAAGACTGCCCTTCAGCTATTTGCAAATGACATACAAGATAAAGGGTTAGTTTCCAAAATCTATAAAGATCTTACCAAACTCAACACCCTGCCCCCCCCAAAAAAAATTATCCAGTTAAGAAATGGGCAGAAGCCATGAACAGACACTTTTCCAAAGAAGACTTATCCAGATAGCCAACAGACACATGAAAAGATGCTTAACATCACTCATCATCAGGAAATCAAAACCACAATGAGATACCACCTCACACCAGTCAGAATGGCTAAAATTAACAGCTCAGGCAACAACAGATGTTGGCAAGGATGTGGAGAAAGGGGAATCCTCGTGCACTGCTGTGAATGCAAACTCATGAATGCAAACTGGTGCAGCCACTCTGGAAAAAAAATATATATATACATATATATATATA